TATTCAAACATAATCATGTTTCTTCCAGTGTGTGAAAACAGAAAAAGGAAATCCAGAACCTCTGCTAAACTGCTTCAAAACTGGGTTAATTAAGTTCAGTTTTGCAACCCAGAAATGATTCATAATTTTATGTTCTTTTTTCCCTTCATTTTCTCTGCCCCCAAACAGAGAGCAAATTAAATTTCAGAGGGAAGAAGAATAAAGATTGCCAAGTATGTACTTTCTTAATATGTTCAAAGGGCATCAACCTTAGAAGTAGGAACTGTGTTCTTTCTGGGAATGATCATAAAAGAAAAAAAAAGTAGCATCTACTATAGACAAAAACACAGATAAAAAGAATTGAACTTACAATCCTGGTTATTTGTCTGAGCTGCTATAATCAATACTTGAATGGAAAGAACCAGAGAATACACCCAAATTCTTGGACCCATTGTCAAGAAACAACCATATAGATTCTCAAAGTAGCACAAATTCTGATCAAAAAGCTATGAAACTCAAAACCTCAGCTCTTCATTAACTTAATTTCCAGGGGAAGAAATTTTCAAAATGACGCTACCCTCGTGCCATTGACTTCTATTGAGACAAAAAAACAAAAACTAATTTGCCGCCAACTCATGCCCAAATTTCCAACCAAAAAATACTGGCACCCACAAACTCTTCATCATACTATCTTTTTTCTTTTTTGGGTCAAACTATAGATGCATATTTTTTTTTGTGTTCCCATCAATCACAATATGTTAACTTCACACCAATGTCTAACTTCCCTAATTTAGAAAAAATCTAATGCAAAGAACGATTATACTATCGAATGAGGTTTTGTATTGAAAATTATAATTTTTTTAGAGGATAAATTATAATTGACTGGTACGAACGATAACAAAATATTATGATATCTGACCCACAAATCCTTTCTCAAACTACGGATACGGAGTTGTTTGAGTTTGAACGATAACAGTGACGAACTATAAATTCAGACATATTCAAAATATAACAATCTCTGATGTCAGACCACGAGAAATCTTTGTCTCTGGTCCTGACATGGATGTTAAGGTGCACGTAAAATTAANTCGTAATATGACCAACAAATTGCTTTTACAATGGATTATTTAGTTCTCTCAGCCCGGAACCAGTCTCATCAGTGCCTCATACATTCCGCTACGACTGCAGAAATGTTGCATTACAGTACAATAATGGGATTTGAAAAACTGAAATGCACAATAGTCTAGAAACTACAATGGTAATGAGTATTGTATGATGTTTCACTGCGTAAACCGTATTGTGGATTCTTGTATGGGAGAAGAGATAAGTGCAAACAGAAGACCTACAGAATCTGTAATTCAGCTAACGCTTGGATGTCTCCAGACAGCTGACCAGTCAAATTCATGCTTGCCAATGTTCTGAAATTGGAAGTGATCAGATTAGCCTTAAAGAAAACATGAATTGCATTATAAGTAACCTTCAATAGTAGTGAAAAAAGGTGAAATGCATAAGGGAATTACATAGAAGTCACACGGGAATTGGTGCACCCAATTCCATCCCAGCCAGCACCACATGGATCTGGCCCAACCCAATTGGGTGGTGTGTTTTGCCATATAGCCTGAAGAGACTGTAGAGCAACATCTGCATCATAAAGATAATTTATTTTCGGTAAAATCGATTCCCTCGTTTCGCTGCCAATTGAATTCTCGTATAAGTACAGAAAATGACTTCTTGCATTGGAAAGCAAGTGATACAGGGAACTAAAAGATTGTTTTATGAGTGAATATTATAGCAAATATGCAATCATCCAGTCCAAAGAGCACAGATAGGCAATCTTCAATGTGGATTTGTTTCCAACCAAATTAGATTATGATGTACAGAAGTGCATTATTAAACTTTGGTTTCAAGGAAAATTTTGGAGAAGTTAAAACATATTCAAACTCAATCATGTTTCTTCCAGTGTGTGAAAACAGAAAAAGGAAATCCAGAACCTCTGCTAAACTGCTTCAAAACTGGGTTAATTAAGTTCAGTTTTGCAACCCAGAAATAATTCATAATTTTATGTTCTTTTTTTCCCTTCATTTTCTCTGCCCCCAAACAGAGAGCAAATTAAATTTCAGAGGGAAGAAGAATAAAGATTGCCAAGTATGTACTTTCTTAATATGTTCAAAGGGCATCAACCTTAGAAGTAGGAACTGTGTTCTTTCTGGCAATGATCATAAAAGAAAAAAAAAGTAGCATCTACTATAGACAAAAACACAGATAAAAAGAATTGAACTTACAATCCTGGTTATTTGTCTGAGCTGCTATAATCAATACTTGAATGGAAAGAACCAGAGAATACACCCAAATTCTTGGACCCATTGTCAAGAAACAACCATATAGATTCTCAAAGTAGCACAAATTCTGATCAAAAAGCTATGAAACTCAAAACCTCAGCTCTTCATTAACTTAATCTCCAGGGGAAGAAATTTTCAAAATGACGCTACCCTCGTGCCATTGACTTCTATTGAGACAAAAAAACAAAAACTAATTTGCCGCCAACTCATGCCCAAATTTCCAACCAAAAAATACTGGCACCCACAAACTCTTCATCATACTATCTTTTTTCTTTTTTGGGTCAAACTATAGATGCATATTTTTTTTTGTGTTCCCATCAATCACAATATGTTAACTTCACACCAATGTCTAACTTCCCTAATTTAGAAAAAATCTAATGCAAAGAACGATTATACTATCGAATGAGGTTTTGTATTGAAAATTATAATTTTTTTAGAGGATAAATTATAATTGACTGGTACGAACGATAACAAAATATTATGATATCTGACCCACAAATCCTTTCTCAAACTACGGATACGGAGTTGTTTGAGTTTGAACGATAACAGTGACGAACTATAAATTCAGACATATTCAAAATATAACAATCTCTGATGTCAGACCACGAGAAATCTTTGTCTCTGGTCCTGACATGGATGTTAAGGTGCACGTAAAATTGATTTGGACACCCCAACTATTACATTAAAAAAAAAGTGTGGATACATAATTTATTGTGTTCATATCAATTTGCAATATAATGACTTCTCACACCACCTTGTAATTTTCCATCATTTAGAAAAGCAAATGGCTAATTTATTACTCCTTTCGTGCCAGAGGAGGGAACCCAAGTCTTGACTGGGCTTGGATAGTTGACATCTACTATTGGAGATAAGAACGATTCAAGGCGTAATTAGCAAATTTAATATGAGAGTGAAATTAATTATGATTGGATTAAGCCCTTTTGGTCTAGAAGAGATATTTTTTCCGCATTCATTTTCGTGGGTCATCGTCTATGAAAAATTCAGAACAAGTGGGCAGCAGTAGGTTGTTCTCATAAATATCCATAACTTCATAGAGACATTCAAAGAAAGAGTGTTAATGTAGAGCAAGTAGGTGAAAGAGAGCTGAAAATCAAACCACTGACGAATATAATATATATATATAGAGAGAGAGAGATTGACGAGTCAGGCACGTACGTACCTTCTTCCAATCTTTTTTTTTATCAATCCATCTTCCAATCTTTTTTTTGATCAATCCATCTTCCAATCTTCAAACTCTCTGTCCTGAATGGAAGAATAGTCATGAATGTCATAAACAGCCCTTAAATTATGATAATGGCTTTAAAATCCTCTAATTGTTTTTTTATTTCAATTTAGTCTTTGAATTTTTACAATCTTTTGAATAGATCTCTTTAATCTATTTAAAGCCTTAGAACAAATGATTTTTTTGGCCACATAAAATCATGTATTCATGTCTGAGACATAATAAGTAAATAAAAACATATGAAATTTTGTAATTTTTAACAATTTTCACTAAATAAAATTTGAACGATCTAATAAGTATTATCATTTATTTTCACATCTCAACCAAAAAAAAAAAAAAACTTTTTAGTTTGGATGAATTCAGAATTAAGACTTCAAATTCTTATCCTGCCCCTAAAGTACTGCATCATTCTCGGATGAAGAAAAAAACGCTATTTAACATCTAAAATAGACGAAATTGACAAATTGAAATGATTTTAAAAATTCATATATCAATGGTCAATTTGGTAGGAGGGATAAAAAAATAGATAGAAAGAATTTTTCATCCCTAGGGAAGGAATATACTTTTCCTCATATATGTTTAGTACGGTGGATGAAAAATTAAAGTGATACATTTTCTTTTGTAAAAATTGGATGAAAAATGGAAAATATGTATACAAATTTACAATTATACCCTCACATATAATAGGTGAATTTTTCTATAGTAAACCAATTTATTCATTTTGAAAATGTTAAAATCCTGATATCTATATAATAAAGTAGCTTACAATTCAAATTTCAAAAGATAAACAAAATGACTTTTGCTATTCGCGGTTAAGATCCCTTTAAATTTTATTTTAAAGTTAATCTAACGACTAATATTAACACCCTAAATTTAATATGAATAATAGGGTCCTAAGGGTGTGTTTAAAGTAACTTTTTAAAATTATTTCTAAAAATTATTTCTTATAAATATTTTTAAAAAAATAGTGTTTGAAACTACCCTATCATTACTTCTACCGCTGCCGCCACCATCACCGTTGTCGTCATCGTTGTTGCCACAGTCATCACCACCTACCACTACCGTCGCCACCTTCCGTCACCATCACCCCTGCCACCACCACCAATATCGCCGCGCTCGTTGCCACCACGGTCATTGTGACTCATCACTGTCTCTTACCACCATCATTGTCGCACATCATATCTCACCCCACTATAAATCGAAATACTTAAATTGTTTTATCTCTTCTCTATATTTGTGATTTAATTTTAGATATAAATACAAATATATTTTTTATTTTTTATTACTCTATACCTTCATACGCATACAATAATAAGTACTATTATACGGAAAAAATAATGCCACTAGTATATGCCCACCAACACTACCACGTAGAAGAATATTACAATTCATTGACATATTCAATATTTTTTAATGTTAAATGACCAGTTACAGTATTTTGAAAAATAACATGATTGCATATATTTTTTAGTGCGTTGATCAAATTTTTTTTTAACAAAATTCATCGACTAATTTGCCAAAATATGATAGTGCTTTATCACATGACGGATACAAAAGTCAAATAAGCATAATAAAAGCATACAGGGAAGACTAAAGTCATATGTCAGACGTTTCAACCAGTGACCTCTGGGTCTCATTTAGTACCATTCAGACTTTATAAAGAGTCAAGTCATTCTTAGCTAAATTATGGGTTTTTTTCCACTAGAATATCTTTTGAGTTGCTGCACACGGAAAGAATAATTTCTTGGCCCACCTCATCCGGTCGAGGTAATGTTTCGATCGAATTTCATCTAAAAAAATTGGTTTGAAAATCGGGTAATATTGTGAAATATATCAATATTTATAATTTTTTAGTTATTAATTTTTGAATCATTTTAACAACTTAATTAAGTAATTTTTGGGCTACTTTTTATAACTAGACTGTTAAAATATAATATAATAATATGTAAATTAATATAATAAATCAATAACACTAAAAAAAATAATAAATCCGATAATATGTCTTCTAAAAGTCTAAAATATCATACCCAAACAATTGCAAACGACGTAGTTTTATGACAAATATTTTTTTAAAAAAAATGTAAATATACATACAAGTTCGGATAGAAATGTAGAATTTTTATGTATATTCCGCATTCCTACACCTATCATTTGCACCTATCATTTGCAAAATATTATAATTTGTTTCATGGAATCCGAATAAATCGGGAATGGCAGCAGTTGCTTCCGCTGTGATTTTAAAATTTTTTGAGGTCAACTCAAACTTTTGAAATTATTTTAAATTTGTCCCTACTAATTAAACAAATAATTAGACTTAGAATCTAATATTTAAAATTTATCAAACCTGAAATATATTTAAGATTAAATTATTTCAAATTAATTGAACTTTAAAAATTTCTTCATGTTGAATTAAATTGGTCATATATCTAAGTTCAATCTTAATAAACTTGTGATGCATTGATTTATTTTTTTTTTCAAATCATGGGATCTATAAATTACACTTTCAATTGACTTTCCTTTGATGAAATCATACTTATAGATAAGTGTTAAGAATTAATATTTTGTAAAACATATAATAATATTAATAATTTAAATTATTAATAACTTTTAAGTTGTCCTCACTATAAAAAAAACTCCTCCCTCCGCTCTTGAATGAAAAGGTTTAAATATTTGTAGACAAAAATCACTATTATATTTTTTATAAATTGTGAACACATATTGGTGTGGTAGAAATTTTGGAAGCCATATATGCTTAACGAATTTTGATTTTTTTTTTTTTTTGTGATTTAATTAGAGGTGTTAATCGAGGTGAGCTTTGTGAGCTTGAACCTGAGTCTGGCGAGTTTATTTTTGTAAACGAGTATAAAAAATTGTTCAAACTCTGTTCGTTTATAATTCGAGTCGAGTTTGAGTAACTCGACTATTTTATATATAAATAAACCGAGTTTTGTGAGTTTGAGTTAAGTCTTTTAGGCTCATTTTTTTAAATAAATTTAAAAAATTATTTAAACTCAGCTCATTTAAAATAAGAGTCGAGCTTAAATCGAGTTTTATATTAATCAAACCCGAATAGTTCGTCTCGATTAATACCTCTAAATTTAATTACTCTTCAGATTTTTATTGTAGTATTTTTGAACATGAATAAATTAAACATGTCTTGGGATTTTTGTTAAGTTTATATGGCCTATGGTGGTTGAGCATATGGGTCCCATGTGCAGACATGCCTGGGGATTCTATAGGGTGGTCAAATGTGGGTCAGCCTTAAAATTGATATTGCTCGCATATTAGGCCCAGCATAAATAGGGGACCTGTGTTCGCAGTGGGAAAGGGTGTCTATCGTCTCGTTGTTATTTTTGATCGTATTATTTTTGTGTAAGATCATTTTTGATACGCCTTAAGTTCATATCAATAAAAAATTATTTAATTTTACAACAATTCATATAATATTATTTTAAAAATTAAAAAAAATTATAAAAATTTTTATTTTTTATCTATAATATTCATTAAATACTTATTTTTTATTTACAACACTCGTGTGAACAAATCATGCTTTTTTTGAGTTTTATGCGAGGTCAAATTCGTAATAATAAATAAAATTGACACCTCTGGGTGTTTGTGGGTGGAGTAAGCGTGGGTGATGGGTTGGTCCCAAATGGTTCACACGCATGGACTCCTAATGCAAAATGGTGGGGGATTGATCGACAATGGCGGTAAGGTCCATAGTTTCAATAGATTACTCTTTTATTCCAATCCACTAAACTATTTGGTCCAATGTTATCTAG